GAGTCGTGCGGAGGAGGGGCCCCTGGAAAGAACCACGCCTTCCACGAACCTCCAGCCATGTGGGAGGCCAGAATGTTGAAAGCCCAGAGCCGCCTTCAGCCCCCATGATAGATGTTTATTACCAACCTCTGTATGCGGCCTGACAACCGACTATGAGATAGTCCTCTGGGATGTACCAGCAAACCCCAGGCTCCACCAGCCCAAGGCTGGGAATGTTGTCAGCACCCGAGGCTTGTAGCTGAGGGTCCCCAGTTTTCTCTATCCGTCCCCCCCCCCCGATGTTTCCACCAGTAAATGATGTGGAAGTGCCTTCATTTACTTTTTGTCGTTGTTATGTCATGGTACAGTTTAGTGAAACTGTTACCACAGTGGAACACGGAATTTGGAGTCATTCATATTTGGCTTCGGGATAAACTATCTCTTAGCTCTTTGAGATGAAGAGTTGTGGGGTTTTTTTTTTTTGTTGTTGTTGTTTTTTGGTTTTCTGGATGTGACAGTCACTTGGATTTGCAAGAGGCTTACCCCTTTTCCTTTTAACACTCTCTCTCTCTCTCTCTCTCTCTCTCTCTCTCTCTCTCTCTCTCTCTCTCTCTCACACACACACACACACAATTTAAGCCGCAATGGTGCAGCACACCTTTAATCCCAGCACTGGAGAGGCAGGTGGATCTCTGTGAATTCCAGCCAGGCCTGCATAGTAACACCTTGTCTCCAAAAAGCATTTTTTAAAAAAATTATTTCTCCGTCTTTGTGGCGTGTGCATGTGTGTGCATGCGTGTGACATGGCACGTAAATAGATCAGAGGACAACTCAGGAGTCAGTTGTTTCCTGCTAGGGATCAAATCAGGTCATCAGGACTTGATGCAGGTACCGCTCTACCTGCTGAGCCGTCTCGACACACCCAAATGTTGATACCTGAATTACTGCGCAACACACAGGGGCACTTGGAGGAGGGAGCCTGGGCGGTACCTGCAATACAGAGAAAGGACCAGTGTCGTTGTAAAGCAGTAGGGCATGCTAGGGAGAGAGGAGGGCACACCAAACCGATAGAAATCCCCCAGGGAGAGTCGAGAGACCGTGAGGGGGAAGCAGAGACACATTAAGCTGTCAGAACTTAGGGGGGAATGTTGGAAACAGGGCAGGCATGGACGGAGGCACAGAGTAAGAGGAGGGTTAGGAGCCAGGTGGGGCAGCTGGCGGCATGATTGCCTGACATGGTGTCGCCCAGGGACTTGCACCAGCTAAGACCTTGTCACCTTCCCAGCCATCATTGCTGGTAGTGACAGTGTTACTGGCTTGAAGTCAGGCTTGCTTGTTTCTCTTGCTCTCAGGTTTACATCTGGTCACTTTACAGTGTCTCTAAGGACTCTGGCTCTGTGGCACTCACCTAAGCACCTGGGGCCACTCTGGATAACATGGAGTGACCGGCTCACGGAGGCGTGAGAGTTGAGACATGAAGTGGCTTGTTGCTGGCGGTTTTCTTGTTCCTCTGCCGCTTCAGACCCCAATAAGCACACAAAGAGTTGTATTAATTATTAAACTGTTGGCTGATGGCTTAGGCTTCTTATTGGGTAGCTCTCTCTCTCTCCTCTCTCTCTTCTCTCTCTCTCTCTCTCTCTCTCTCTCTCTCTCTCACTCTCACTCTCTCTCTTGGTTTTTCGAGACGGGGTTTCTCTGTATTGTTTTGGAGCCTGTCCTGAAACTAGCTCTTGTAGACCAGGCTGGCCTCGAACTCACAGAGATCCTCCTGCCTCTGCCTCCCGAGTGCTGGGATTAAAGGCGTGCACCACCAACACCCGGCTGGCTAGCTGTCTCTTAATTATTAACCCATTTCTATTAATCTATGTATTTCCACGTGATCTTAGCTTACCAAAGAATGCCGGGACCTGTTACTCCTTTGGCCCCGCTACACGTTGACTGTCGTTGGCAGGTCCTCCCTGCCTACCTTTCCCAGAATTCTCCTCGTCCTAGTCCCACCTATCTTCCTGCCTCATTGGCCAGACAGTGTTTTATTCATCAACCAGATAAGAGAAACGTACATACAGAAGGACATTCCCCCCCATCAGTGACTAAAACCTAAACTGTGTTAGTAGAAGGCTCAGGGCAAGGTCTCTTTAGTGAGAGGCTCTGACCATGTCAAGCCCACCCTGCCTGTCTAGAAGAAAGTCCCCAATTCCTGTCCTGGCCTTCAGGACTCTCCACCAGCTGGCCAACAGTCTCCACCGCAGGCCCACATCCTGGTGTCTTCACTAAGGCAACTGCACCCTGCCTCCCCAGTCAGTCAGTGTCTGTCTAGATGCCTTGACAATCAGCCTTCAACCCCAGTAACCACATCCGCCTTAGCTTCGGTTGGGGACTGTGACCCTCACCACGGCCCAGACGTATTAACCAAAATAATTCATGTTTGCGCAAGCTAAAACAGAGAACTACCTAGAGGAAGTGTAAATCAAACATGATTGTCCTACAGCGTCTGGGAAATACTGCCAAGCTCTGCAAAAAAGGCAGATGTTGTAAGGGTACCCAATCCCCGCCCCTAACATCAACGTAACTGTGGGTTTTGTCTTTAAAGATACTGAGCTTTGGCACCAAGAGGTATTTTGGAGGCATTGGCCTACTCTTAGTCTGGCCGTTAGTTTTTTGTTTTTATTTTTTTCGAGACTGGGTTTCTCCGTGTATCCCTGGCTGTCCTGAACTCACTCTGTAGATCAGGCTGGCCTAGCACTCTGGAGGGATGGGGGCAGTAAATTAGAGGCCAATGTGGGCTACGTGAGGCCCTTTTACAACCCCCCCAAGCCACTAACCCCATGTATGTGTACGTTCTGGAATTGCTGTTCTCATCAAACTTTATCTGCCAATTTGGAAAATAGAGGAAGAAAAAAAAAAACCCCAAGTCCTTCAACAATCCTAAAGTAGTATCTTGAGATTGTCACATTAAAAAGTTCTGCAGTGGATGCAGAAATCCACAACTAATCGATGGGCCAACCTCCTTGGAGTACAATCGAAGTTGAGGGAGGAGCGATAATATGAACAAAGGAGTCAAGACCGTGATGGGGAAACCCACAGAATCAGCTGACCCGAGCTAGAGAGAGATCACTGCCTCAGGTCTGACAAATGGGGAACCTGCATAAGACTGAACTAGACTCCCTTAATACAGGTGACAGTGGTGTGGCTGGGACAATATATGAGGCCACTGGCAGTGGGTCCAGGATCTAACTCTAATGCACAAACTGACATAGTGGAGCCCATTTTATATGGAGAGACACCTTGCCCAGCCTAGACATAGGGGAGTGGGCATGGAGAGGTGCCTTGGTCCTGCCTTAATGAGATGATGAGACAGACTTAGTAGACTTCCTAGGGGAAGCCTTACCCTCTCCCTGGAGCAGATGGGCTGACAGGGGGAGTGGAGGGAGCTGGAGGAGAGCAGGGAGGGAGAACTGGGATTGGAATGTAAAAGCTAAATTAATTTAAAAAAATGAACAACAACAAAAGTTTCTGCCGTGGGTGTTTAAAACCCACCAACTCTGAATCTCTCCTGTGGTAGGTTCTTCCAGTAGGGTGTGCCTTTAGATCTTGCTACTAAATGACCTTTTCTCTCCATTTCGGGGAGAGTGAAACAGAGCATGCTCATGTTTTTTAACTTGGTGTAGGAGATGAGTGGTGAGCTCAGAGATAATGGAGTCACACGTGTCAGCAGAAGGCTTGACGCTAGGTTTGGGATTAAATTCCTGACAAGCCTCCCTCTGCAGTCCTAACTTTCTGATTTGTGCAGTGTCTTTAACCTTCGGGCCTCAGGTTTCTCCTCTGTATAATGGGGATCCCTTTGCATTGCTCTCATTAACTTGAGAGGGTTTGCAGGGCTTGGCCAATCCACATAAAGGCTTAATGGTGCCTTCAAAGTATTGTCCCCCTTGCTTTTTGGTTTTTCCAGACAGGGTTTCTCTGTGTAGCCCTGGCTGTCCTGGAACGCGCTCTGTAGACCAGGCTGGCCTCGAACTCACAGAGATCTGCCTGCCTCTGCCTCCCAAGCCCTGGGATTAAAGGCGTGCACCACCAACGCCCGGCCAGTGTTGGACCCTTTAATCACAATGTGTGGTCCTGATTTATATGATATACACCGAGAAGGATGAGTTGGTTAAGATCCTTTTCATGTGGGTTGGGTTTGAATCCCCACTGATTTTAAAGGCGCTGTCCTCAGTGAGAGACTGGGGGTAGCCGGTGTTTTTGGTGCTTTCCCAGCCTCTGGCCTCTGTGTCTATCTTGTACCGTCTCCCAATACCCTTCAAGGATTGTGTATTCGTTATAAAATTCCATGACCAAGGCAACCCGAGGAAGAGAGGTTATTTAGGCATGTGGTTCCAGAGGGAAAGGAAAGCATGACATATTTGCAAGCACAAACCAACCAGAGAGTTAAATGGCTGAGACTTTTTAATGCTCACTCCCATGGCATGCTTTCTCAGGCAGGGCCAGATCTCCTAAACCTCCAAGAACAGTGGTGCTACTAACCGAGGACCAAGGATTCAAATACTGAAGGCTATAAGGGGCATTTGACACTCAAACCACCACAGATTTCGGGTGTGTGTGTGTGTGTGTGTGTGTGTGTGTGTGTATGAGCACATCATGAAGGTCAGAGTCTGACTTTCAAGAGTTGATTCCCCTCCTGAGTGGGTTTTAGGAACTGAACTCATATCGGTGTTTTCGGGTTTGATGACAAGTGCGTTTACCCACCGAGCCATCTTGCCGGTCCTCCATTGCTTTTTCGAAGTGGATTCTGGAGGTCCGACCCCGCTGAGCCTTCTCCCCAGCTTAGCTGCCTCCTGAGTTGATGGGTGCCCTCTCCCTGGGGGGCCTTTGCATGCTCCCTCAGCTTCAGATGTGAAGCACCGTGGTTGGTGTGACTCTCTGAAGCATGGTGGGTGGTCTGACTCTCTGAAGCATGGTGGGTGGTCTGACTCTCTGGCCCCTTGGGCGGGCATCTCACCTCCCATTCTTCTTTTCTGCAGATCATCAACTCCGTGGTCCTGCTGGTCCTACTGAGCGCACTGGCAGATCCCGACCAGTATCACTTCTCAAGCTCTGAACTAGGAGGGGAATTCGAGTTCATGGATGATGCCAGTAAGTACCTCAGATGACCGCTGGCGATATTTTAGGATTTCTTGGGACAAGGAGCCTGACTGTCTGCCTTTTCTGTTAAATTACAAATATTGATTCAGGGGTCTGTTTGCGCTGCTATTTTAACTTTGTTTTCTCTCCGTCATTACAAATCAAATCAGCAAATGCGTGCTGCCCATGCTTGGGCTCTGTTCTTAATGACTGTCAGATCCATAGTTTTAGACATCTCATGAGAGTGCCCTTTTCCTCCATTTTTCATGGGGTCCCGTGTATTATATACAGTCCACACATTCTCTATGTCCCAGTGAAGACCTTGAAGCCCCTCTTGTTCCTGCCCCTCCTCCAAGTGCTCGGATGATAGGTAAATGGGCTGCTCTGCCAAGTTGGAATTCATACCTTTTAAAACCTACATCTTTCTCAGCATAAGAGCCTAGGGTTCTGGTCTTAGAGACGTTTCTCTATAGGGAGGAGAGCATTGGGGGATGGCAGGGTGGCTGGGTTTGGACAGAGGCTGTTGAGATGACATCTCTTCAACTTGGCTAGACGGCTCATGTGTCCACGGAGCTGGCGAAGGGAGCAAGCACAACCTAGGGTGAACACTAGATTTTTGACTTTAGATGTTGTAGGCTCTGGGGCTCGGACTGAGTGCCGGTTACGCCGAGGGTGCTGTGTGCTCTCTTGGAGCTCACCACTAACCTTGGTTTACTTTGTAGTCCCGTCTGAAAAGCAGAGGGATTCCTTGTGCCTGACGCAGATAGGGCTGTGAAGTGTTCGGTAAGACGCACCCTTGCCGGGCACGCAGACGGCAGATCTCCTGGGATCGAGGCATGTGGATTAGTGTAGGCTGAGACAGACGTAGGGATGAGGAGATGCCTTTGCCCTGGATGCTGGAGAGGTGAGAAAGGAGTCCTAGAGCAGTTCTGAAGGGCTCCGACTCTCGCAGGTCGGGGGAGGAGGAGCCAGAGGGCGATCAAACTCCATACCCATCTTTTACCACTATTGTTTGATCTCAGTGGTTATCTGTCCAGGTGTCTGTGGCCCCTAGAAGACAGGAGGCTGAGGCAGAAGGATCAGAAGTTCAGGGCTACTCTAAGCCACATAACAAGTTCAAGGCCAGCTTTGAGGGGTGGAAGACCCTATTTCCAAAATAAAATAAAATAAACAATGAATACTTTATTAGTTAATTGTATTTGGAGAAAAGCCTGGCCTGGTGGAATGCTTAGCACCTGATGAGTGTGCAGGAGACTGTTCTGGTCCTCAGAACTCCACGGGGTCGGCAGGGTGGGACACTAACTTTGTAGGTCAGACCTCATTGTACTGGACAGGCCTTTAAGTATTTAAACCAGGCTGGAGAGATGGCTCAGAGGTTAAGAGCACTGGCTGTTCTTCCAGAGGTCCTGAGTTCAATCCCCAGCAACCACGCGGTGGCTCACAACCATCTGTGATGAGGTCTGGTGCCCTCTTCTGGCCTGCAGGCATACAGAACACTGTATACATAATAAATAAATCATTTTTAAAAAGTCCTAAATATTTAAACCAGGAGTAGATAGAGTTAAATAGGCCTTGCAGTTTGGTTCAGTCAGCTGTGTTAGTTATAATTGGAAATTCTGTAAGTTAATAGAGCTATTTTTGGTACTGGAGAGATGGCCTAGGGTTGAAAGCACTTGTCTCTTACAAAGGATCTGGATTGGGTTCCCAGCATACATGTGGCAGCTTATAACCGGCTGTGTAACTGAAGGCGGGGTTTAAATGAGTCCACCAGACCCAAGGTAGATGATAAATAGGTATTTATTAGGGAAGCACTTACAGAGATAAGATAAGATAAGATAAGATAACCACCGCAGTCTTCCTGCTCCAAAAGATGCAGTCTCTGCCCATCCAATGCTCTCTGCAACCCAAGGGAGCACGAGCCAGCACCTCCTCTACCTTATGATGGGTCACGGCTGCACCTGAAACCACCCCCAAAGGGTGTGGCCGCCACCACAAGTTCGCTGGCAAGGCAAGATGCCAGTATTTGTAACTCTAGTTCCAGAGGATTTGACGCCCTCTTCTGGCCTCTCTGGGCCCTGCACACACATGTGTACATGTATACATGCAGGCAAAAGAACACTCATCAACGTTAAACAAATCTTTTTTAAAAGGATCCACGTGTGTACATGTTTACACGCATGTGCCTTTACTTACATATATGGCGCAGTGGCATCTTCTGTAACCAACAGTGGCCTTGACTCTCTGTGTACCCTAGGGTAACTTTGAGCTTATGATCACCCTGTTTCAGGCATATACCACCATGTGTAGCTTTATGCAGTTCTGGGGATGAGACCCAGGGTCTTGGGAATGAGAGCCAGGACCAGCATATATTGCTGCCTGAGTGCTGGCAGATCTGACAGGACATTTTGGCTGGCCAGGCAGCATGGATTTACCTCTTTGCCATGTGGGTACTTTTTCTCAGGTGATCTGGTAGAGGATGATCAAAGTAGGGAATTCCTTGTTGGGGGAATCCATAAGGATAAAGAAAATGTCGGAATTTTTCTCACCTTAACATCTAGCTTTTAGACATTTCTGTCAAAGAAATATTAATTATATGTATATTTATAAATTTTTCATGTTATCAAAAAATTTGACAGGGTCATGGAATAGATTGGATGGAGAATAAACATCCATCGATTCTCAGCCTTGAATCTATCTGTGTGCCCTTGAAGTTGCCTGGCTCAGTAGTTGACTACAATTTGATGGGTTTCTTTCTGGTTTTTTTTTTTTTTTTTTCAAGACAGGGTTTCTCAGTCTAGCGCTGGCTGTCCTGGAACTCGCTCTGTAGACCAGGCTGGCCTTGAATGCACAGACATTCACCTGCCTCTGCCTCCTGAGTGCTGGGATTAAAGCCATGTATGTATGTGTGTATATGTATATATGTGGCATATATTTGCTTTTTCAGATTTCCTGTATCAAAGAAAATTATCCAGACACTAAGGGTGTGAAAGACTTTAATTCCAAAGGAAATCCAAAGCTGGGATCCAAATTCCCAGGACTTGGGGAGGCTGAGGCAGGAGGGGTGTGTCTTTCAGACCAGCTACGGCAGAGTAGTCACAGGCCAGCCTTTTGGTGCAGATGCTCTCAGAATGTCCCACAACCCCAAGCCCTCACTTTATACTCTGTTCAGTAACAACAGCATCTACCTCAGCTGGGAAGAGTTAAAACATTTGAAAGCTATCGTGCAGATAGTTCACTGACCTCGGCACCACGCGCTAAAGATACAGGCTTCCTGGATAAAGAAGTGTCCAACTAGTACCTCCAGGCACCATTCCAGATCAGCGATGTGCGGTAGGAATATGTCAGGGGCTGGAGAGATGGCTCCAGTGGTCAAGAGGACCCAGGTTCAATTCCCAGCACCCACAGGGCAGCTCACAACTGTCTGTAACTCCAGTTCCAGGGGATCTGACGCCAACGCACATAAAATATAAAAGTTAAATACATTATTTAAAAAAAAAAGAGGGGCTGGGCATTGGTGGCGCACGCCTTTAATCCCAGCACTCCGGAGGCAGAGGCAGTAGGATCTCTGTGAGTTCGAGGCCAGCCTGGTCTACAGAGCGAGTTCCACGACAGCCTCCAAAGCAATACAGAGAAACCCTGTCTCGAGAAAAAAAAAATGCGAACGTGTCGTTCTCTCGCAGCCGTGTTATGCAAAGCAACAAAAAAGCCCCAATTAACTGGGATTATTGTAATCAGTATAAATGCCATTAATGGGGTAGTTTTCACCCTCTGAACTAAGTCTGGAAACTGAGCATGCGAGTGTGCGTGTGTGTGGTGTGTATGTGCATGAGTGCGCGTGTGTGGTGTGTGTAGTGTGTGTGTTCGTCTCATAGAGCTTCTCGCTGTAGGTGCCCATGCCCACGTGCTGCTGCCTCTAGAGGGGTTAGACGGGCATACCTCACCCAGATGGTGGCAGCAGCAAACAGCGTTTAGAGTTCTTACCTGGGGAGAAACCAGCAATCACCAGAAAACAGAGTAAGACTCATAATTCTGCGTGTGGGAGGGTGCAGCGGAGGAAGCATGGGAGGGCTGCACCCACCAGCTGGAATGCTCAGGGCAGCTTCCCAAGGAGGTGAGCTCGCCTGGGACCCTTCTGATCCCACAAGAAACGAAGGAAGCCGCGGGCGTAAGGCTCGAGCGGCTGATGATGTTGCTTGAGCATCCTTAGGTGATATAGACGGCCTGAGCGATGAAGGGAGATGAGAGGTGAAAACACTGGAGAATTGTAGAGTGTGGTCCGGTTGCATGGGCCCCGCCGCGCTCTCTGAACCGCCAAATAACACACAGGAGGCTGTATTAATTATGAAGCTGTTGGCCGTTTGCTTGTTTCTTACTGGCTATCTCTGACTTAAGTATTTAGCCCATAACTGTTAATCTAAGTATTTCTCTTACCGGAGAAAGAGTCTGGACCTCTTACTCCTCTGGAGGCTACATTGTGACTCTCAGTGTCTCTCTTTCCCAGAATCCTCCTTGACTCCCAGTCCCACCTATCTTGCTTCCCTGTTGGCCAACAGTGCTTTATTCAAACCAATCAGACACATTTTTACAGAACGACGTCTCCCAACAGAGAATAGATTGGGAAATGAGGGTCTTGAAAAGAAACCTCGGTTTGTAATTTTAAGCGAATGAGTGAGGTATGGAAAGGTTCCACACTCGTGAGTGTAATAGAATACAAATAGACACCTGTGTGACTATGGGATGACGGAGTTAACGAGTATATCTGTGGTTAGTGGGCTAGGAGGCCAACTTGTGTTTGGTGTCTGTAAACAGTGTCTCTTTGCTCTTTTGCAACTATGTAGCCGCTCAGGATTTACGTTGAATCAGCGTGAAGGTTTCGCCTATAGTTGATGTATAAACAAAAAGACTTTGGAAAGAAGTTCAGTGCTGGGTCTAATTGTGTGCCCCCCCACCTTTGACTTTTTGCCAGATATGTGCATTGCTATTGCAATCTCTCTCCTCATGATCCTGATATGCGCTATGGCTACTTACGGAGCGTACAAGGTACGTGGTTCTCAATGTTCCTAGGGCTGCAATCCTTTTAATACAGTTCCTCATGGTGTGGCGACCCCTCCCCCAAAACCATAAAATTATTTCTGCTACTGGTTTATAGCCGTGATTTTGCTACCGTTATAAGTCACAATATAAATATCCCGCACTTACTGATGGTCTGAGTTGACCCCTGTGTAAGGGTCGTTTGACACCCCAAAGGGATCTTGACCCATGGGTTGGGAACTTCTGTATTAGAGTGATCTGTGGGTCTGCCTGCTTGGATTGTAGGGTCGTTCATAGTTTTCTGCAGGAACCTTTAGAACTCTGTGATACTTCGTGGTACTAGGGAAACTGGTAAAACCAACATTACCAAGAGCACTCACCAGTTTGTTCTGACCGCCCCAGCTTGGCATTGCCAGTTGCCATGATGGTCTGGCTTAATGACCGCCAGCTCCAGGCCCCTCCAGACTGGTGAACTCAAAGTCCTGTTACATGCATCACGTGACCAATCTGTTTTCTTGTGCTTAGCAACACGCTGCCTGGATCATCCCGTTCTTCTGTTACCAGATCTTTGATTTCGCCCTGAATACCTTGGTTGCCATCACAGTGCTCGTCTATCCAAACTCCATTCAGGAGTACATACGACAGCTGGTAGGTGGCCCTGCCTCCCACTGCCTCTTGTCCTGAGGGGCCTGAGTGAGCCGAGGACAGACAAAGCGTTAAAGGGACATACGTTATTATCAGGACATACATTATTGTCGGACATATGTTATTATTGGGACATATGTTAATATTGGGACATATGTTATTATCGGGACATATGTTACTATCAGGACAGACATTATTATCGGGACATATGTTAAGTAGATTTTGAACTCGCACTCGAGTGGCTGTTCAGATCGCTGAGTGTTTTCTTAAAGGTGGGAGTTTTAATTACTAGGACATTTTTTGGGGACACTGTGTCCATCATAACCTCCCGGGACCTGCAGGAGATGAGTCAGGGATGCCTTGAGACAGCAATGCAAGGGGGCGCCGACGTTTCCCTGATGGCTACTGCTGGCAAGCTGGAATACAGCGAGTCAGAAACGCGGTTATCTGAGAATGCTGCAGGTGATCCCTGATCCCTAGCCAGAGTCCTGCAAAACAGTTACTATAAGTGCGTGTGCCCTTTCATAGTGTGAGCTCTTGATTTTTTGTTTTTTGGGTTTTTTTTTAGCCTGGGGTTGTCACCGTCTTTGCTTACATAACAAACTCGTAGGAGAATCTGCTGTCTAGAAAGATGTGCCAGTTAGCAGGGGCATTCATTTTGGGAGGTCTCTCCTCCTTGTCCTGCCCCTTTAGAATACCCAGAGCTTGATGAAAATCAAGAAGACACTGCCCAGTCACGGCACCAGAAGTGTCCCAAGTACCACACACTGAGGGTGGACTCCAAGGTGCAGGGGGAGGATTGAGTGACTGGTGCTTCATATGGTGACTCCTCCTTTGACTTTTGTTCTCTGCCGGGGGCGGGTCAGTGGAAGAAACAGTCACTCCAGAATGAAAGCAGCAGCAGGGAGAAGCAGCTTCCGAAAACTGACCGCCTCATGGCTTTGCAAAAACCTCTTTTTTTTTTTCTCCTCGTTTTTGTTTTTCCATACGACGCGGTTTCTCTGTGTAGCGTTGCCTCTCCGGGAACTTGTGTAGAACAGGCTGACCTCAACTCACAGAGATCACCTGCCTCCCCAGCGCTGTGCAAAAGCCTCTATTATTGTTACACAAAAAACACCTTTAGCAAACTAATATCCGTATACCAAAATTTCTTTTTCTCTGGAGTTGTTTGAAGGGACCATTACCTATGCAATTCTCCACCATGTGAGACCTTCTGGTTTGCCAGGTCCAGTGTCAAGACTAAGTTATACAAAGGCTCTGGAATTCCTTCAGGAAGAGCAACTCAGTAACAACACCTTGACTTGAACAAAAGGTTACCTCAAAGCCCGGGTGCTGTCACTCTGGAGTTCATGCCAGGGGCATGCAATGGCACCGTGGAGTCTCTGTACAGACCTTGCTTGGCCAGAGCGCCTGGGTTAGGAAAACGCCGTTATCACTGTTTGCTGCTGTTTCATGGGTAGAGATGGGAGAGAATTTTGTGTCTGTCCTTGTGGTGATACTTTGCTTATGATCTAAACAAGCTTGCCTGAAGATCAGAGTGCAAAGCTAGCCACGGCCACAGAGGCCAAGCAGTGGTGGCGCACACCTTTAATCCCGGCACAGGAGCAGAGGCATCTCTGTGAGTTCAAGGCCACCCTGGGCTGCATGAGAGTCAGTCGGTCTAAAAGAGAAACAGTGCTCAGGCCTCTAATCCCAGCGCTTGGGATGACACTCCTTTAACCCCAGCACTCGGGGAGGTGGAGACGGGAGTGATATGGCTGGGCGGAGAGAGGAATGAATATAAGGCAGGAGGAGACAGGAGAATCATTGCAGTCTCAAGTGAGTCTGAGGAGCAGTGTAATTTGAGGTTTGGTGAGTCTTGGTAGAGGTTCGAACTCTCTAGTGGCCGGCTGCTTTGCTTCTCTGATCTTTAATGCTGGGTTTTTATTGAGCTGTCGGGTGAGCACCCTGGGTTGCTGCCTTTGGAGTCTTTCTTGACAGATGAATGGAATTTGCTAATGAGGTCCGCTTCCCTTTCAGCCTCCCAGCTTTCCCTACAGAGATGATATAATGTCCGTGAATCCTACATGTCTGGTCCTTATTATTCTTCTGTTTATCGGCATTGTTTTGGCGTTTAAGGTAAGCATGAATATTCTCCGTATGGATTAAATGCTAAACGCACTCCCGAATTTGAAAGAAATGACAAAATAACCTGTCCGTTGCCTCTGTGTGAGAGAGAAATCCTAACCCAAATTCCTCAGGGCAGTCAAGGAGAGATGGGCCGTGGTTAGGAGTACTTACTGCTCTTCCAGAGGACTCAAGTGCTGTCAGCGGCACCTACATGGTGGCTCACAACCATCCGTAACTCTAGCTCCAGGGGATCTGATACCCTGTTCTGATGTCTGTGGCACCAGGCATGGACGTGGTGGGCAGATACACACACAGAGACAAAGCATCCACGCACATAAAATAAAAATTAAAAAAAAAGATGTATTTGGTTGCATAGTACATAATACTGCAACATGTATTACGACGGTCTTCGTGTTTTTAGTGGTAACGTCACAGAAGTTAGATGCAAGTATTTGAATAGGTATCTCACATACGCAGTTTTTATTGTCCTACAATTTGTGTTAACAAGGTTCAACTATTTTAACAAATGGCTTAGTGGGTAAAGGTCCTTGCTTGCAAGGCTGGTGAACTGATCTGAGTTCAGCTCCAGGAACCTGAAGAATGGGGTGAAGAGAGCCAGTTCCCGGAAGGTCGATGTCCTCTGACCACACCATGTACACATGCACATAGGTGTGGGTTTTCATGCGCACACACACACACACACACACACACACACACACACACACACACACACACAGAGTAAGTGAATGCTATTAAAAGAAATGCAAGTCAATACTTTCTAGTCCACTATAGGAGTACACAGCTGTAAGCTCCATGGCTGTACTTACTGTATAAGTTTTTTTTCCCATACTGTGTAAGTACAGTGATTGTTTTGTTTTGGCTTTTGGTCTTTGGTTTTTTGAGACAGCATTTCTCTGAGTAACAGCCCTGGCTGTCCTGGAACTCACTGTTTGTAGACCAGGCTGACCTCGAACTCACAGAGATCCGCCTGCCTCTGCCTCCCAAGTGCTGAGATTAAAGGCATGCGCCACCATGCCAGGCAGGTTTAGAACATTTTTACCCCCTTGCCACCAGTCCTTTCTAGTTACCCCTGGAAAACCACTACATTCTTTTTCTTTCTATCTCTCTAGATTGATGTGTTGTAGACACTTTACATCAGTACAGTCACGCTGTGTGTTGGTCTTTGTGGATGGCTTTTTTTCCTCCTGGGTTGCTGCCCTAGTTTTCTTTCTGTTACTGTAATAAAGCCCATGACCAAAAGCAACTTGGAAGAGGAGAAAGTGTTGGTTTTCCTTACACCCCTGGGTCACGGTCTGATGAGGGGAGCCAAGGCAGGATCGGAAACAAAAGATCGTGCAGGAAGACTACTCAGTGGTTTTCTCCGTTGCTTCTTGCTCAGCTTCTCATTTTCATACAACCCAAGACTCAGGGCGATACTGACCACAGTGGCTTGGGCCCTCCCATACCCGTCATTACTTAAGAAAAAGAAAGGCCCCTCGGACTTATCTTCAGCCCAGTCTGATGGAGGCGTTTTCTCAAATGAAGTTCCCTCTTCCCTGTGTCAGGCTGACAACACTCAGCGGGATAGTTGCAGTATGACCTGCTGTGTGACATGCCATGTATCCATCCAGCACGCAGCAGGCATTCAGTAGCTCCTACTTTGGCTGGAGTGAATAATGCTGCTCCTACATAAAGTGTGGGTGGACATGAGGTTTCCGGTCCTGCGGACGTGCCCGTCCCTGGGGTAGGCTTGCTGGATCCTCTGGCAACTCGATTAAAACTTGGGGGCGTGGGGCATATTGTTTGACATCTCTAACATTCCTGTTTTCTTTCTCCGTCTAGCCTTTGTTTTAGTCAGGGAATTTTAAAATTTGGGGGAGGCATTTTGAAACAGTTGAGCTCTAATCCAAGTAATGATGATTGATGGAAGAGCACAGGGAAAATCCCTGATCTAGCATCTCTCACGAATCATTGCTAACTCGCTGTTCTTCTGGGTGTTAATCTTAAGTACCTCCAGATACCATAATAGGCTGGAGAGATGAGCTCAGTGGTTAAGAGCACTGGCTGTTCTTCCAGAGGACCTAGGTTCGAATCCCAGCACCCACATGACATTCACGCCTGTCTATAGTTACAATTCCAGGGGATATGGCACCATCACACAGACAGACATGCAGGGAAAACACCAATGGACATAGAATAAAGACCAGTAAATCATTAAAAAAATCAAACAAACAAAAACTCTTAAAAAAAAGAAAATAGTGTAATAAAAATCAGACTGCCCTGTGGAATAAAAAACAGTCAAGTAGTGTGTGCCTATTATAACGGGAAGTCATGGTACTAAGGCGGGGGTGGGGTGGGGCTTGAGGCTAGCCTGGGCTACACAGCAAGTCTGTTTCCGCCTCTTAGCAAAGAATAAGTAGTATAGTGGTAAGTGGGTTAATAAATTTGATTTGTGTCTGTGGCCATTGTTCCTTTTAGCTGCCCACTTCTAGGGTGGGCAGCCCTCCCATCCCTAACCTCACCCACTACCCTAGTACCAATGCCATCATGCTCCGGTGTGCTGTGACAGAGCATGCCTTGCCGGAAAGCCACCATACCCAACCTCTGCAATTTTAAATGCATTAGGTTTGGTAATGTTGGCATGCGTACATAAATAAAGGCTTTATGATGATGTTACTTTGTGTTGCTTTAAGTCATGCGTGGTTTGAGAATTAACAACCCAGTGGCTGTTGCTTGCAGGGTTACTTGATAAGCTGCGTTTGGAGCTGCTATCGATACATCAACGGCAGGAACTCCTCTGATGTCCTGGTTTACGTTACCAGCAATGACACCACGGTAGGTGTGACGTCACCAGAGGTGAGACCTCCCCCCGCCCTCTGCTGTGTGATGTGGCTAATGTTTTTAGTGTTTGCTACTTCTTACTATAATTGAGAGACATGGTTGCTTGTGTGTGTGTGTGTGTGTGTGTGTGTGTGTGTGTGTGTGTGTGTGTGTGTGTGTTGTTTGTTTTCTCAAGACAGGCTTTCTCTGTGTAACAGTCCTGACTGTCCTGGAACTCACTCTGTAGGCCTAGTCCAGGCTGGCCTTGAACTCACAGAGATCTGCCTGCCTCTGCCTCCCAGGTGCTGGGATTAAATGAGTGTGATTTAATGAGTGGCTAAGACATGTTTTACATTTGCTTGGTGTACCGGGCTGTGGCGTTTTGTTAGTGTGACATATACCTGAAATGACTTCGAGGGAGAGGAGTTCCCTTGGTTAGACTTTAGACATTTCTGTCATGTGATTGGAACTTGTCCCATTACCATGGGCTTGCGGTGGATAAGAAGAGTATCATGGCAGTAGACCCTGTGGTGCCAGAGGCTGCTCACTCCAGGGTAGCCAAGAAGCAGAGAGCACCATGGAGACACCTCTGACTAAACTAGGGCTCCCGGTGAGCTGCTTCCCGCTAAGCAAGCTCTGCTTCCGAAAGTTTCAATCAGCTCCCAGTAACGCTATCAGATTCTGAGACCATATGGAACCATCAATAGGGTTACTAATAGATCAATCCATTGATCAGGTCAGAGTTCTTGATGTCCAGCTGCTTTCAGTGATTGGATCCACTAGCTGGAGACTGAGCCTTTAACTCGTGAGTCTTGGGAGGGGCACCCAGGGCATCTGACATTCACACCATGGCATACGTAGTAATTGGGCCTGGAAAAGAGTAACGTAAAACACCCACCCAATGAAATGAAACGGTCTGGCGAGGTGGCTCAGCAGTTAAGAGCTGCTATCCCAGGGGGCCCTTGTTCATTTCCCAGTGTGACACGGTTCCTCAGAGCCCCTCCGTAACTCCAGTTCCAGATCTGGTCGTCTCCCGCAAGCACCAGCCGTGCACACAGTACACAGACACACATGCAGCCAAAACACATCAACGTAGACTGTCCATGGAAGTTATTCCAGTGGAAACTACATGTGTCCTGTAAATTGTGTAAATGATCCTAAATGAAACTTCCCGTTCTGTACCTATTGTGCGTCTTTAGGAAGGGAGGCCACGAGCTTTCGCTAATGCAGACACATTGCAGTTCATCCATGGCCGGTCGGAGGGTTCTTGCTCTCCAATATGACATAGGCTCGTGTGTTTCCAACACCGGATCTGTGGTCTGCCATTTCTCCAAGGAGCCCTTTCTTTTTTTGTTGGAAAATGATATCTGGAGGACGTAATGTGGACTCTGGGGGTTAGAGTACTCCATAATTTTAAAGATCTCTATTTTGGCAAGAATTCGGGGTTTTAATGTTGGCATTCTAACTTAAGAACCAAATGTGCCGATGCCTGACCCAGAGACCTTCTAGAAGGTTGGAGTGGTCTAGTTTCTCATGGAGCATAACAACGTGAGTTTCTCCTTTGCCAGTGTCAGTCAGTATAGGACATCCGCACCAACATGAAATTCATGTCCGGTTTTCACTTCCTATTAAGCATCGGGCCAGATGGCTCTTCTCCCAGGCTAAATAAATTCATGTTGACCTTTGTGGACAGTTACTGGGGCTCTTGTTAGTAAGTAAACATGCTTAGTCTCCTTTTCTAAGACAGTGCACATGCTGTGGTTTGCTCAGGGGGAGGACAGAAAAGAGTTCTAGATAATGGACATCATTCCCAGGGTTGCCCTGCCTCTGTTTCCAGCCAGACCGTGCTGGGAATGCCTTGGGGGGGGGTCCCAAACACAAGGCCTTGAGGTCTGAGTGATTCCTTCAGGCCACAGGGGTAGATACCCAACTCTTCATTGCACTAAATAGTCATGTATGCACGGTCTGACAGCGGCTTGCTCAGTGTGTTTCCCCTGAGAGGAATAAATAAAGAGTTTAAAATATCCCAAGGTGCCCCCTTTACGTCACCGCAGCTGCCTGGCCCCAGCACTGTTAGTGCCTTAGGGAGATGCGCCCTCCCTCTCGAGCCCCATGTCGGAGAAGTCACGTGGTGGATACATTATGTAACATCACATTCTCTTCCTAATGCCACGAAAACGTGCTCACTGGAGGAAGGAAACACATTAAAATGATAAACATGTACATTGTAGAAATGCTCTTCACCTTAAACATTAGAAAATGGACGTTCTTAAAAGCTTACTATATGTAGACTATATGTCACTGATAACTTATTAGTGAAATAAATCATCCTAAAACCCAGGTCATAGCAGTATTTTTACCAAGTGTGTGGATCCCAATTCCTGTGGCACCAGGGTCCTCTAAATCAGTGAGATTAATAGTTAGCTAAAATGTGTCTGAAATTACGATTCCGGATAAAAGCATTATAGCCTTAGGTACAGAGAGGGGACGTTCTTAATCATTTTAAGGAAAAATGTAAACTTCATGGAGTCGGTTATGCTATTCCAGTATAGGTGCTGGAAGCCTGTCCTTCCAAAAGTATTTCAGCATACGAGGCTGTCTCGTGAACCTGCTTTAAAAATGCAGTTAAAAGAAAAAGCTCCCATGGAGAGCAGAACATCTTCCCAATAGATTCTCTGATGTACTGAAGGTCAGTTGAGGCCAGCCTTTGGCCACCAGAATGCTGTGCACATCTTAGCAGTGGGGGTGGCATTACGGTGTCCCTGTGAGTTTCTGTAATTGTCCACAGTTTCCGCTGGTTCTCTTCTCCTTTTTCTTTTCCTCCAGCTGCTAGTCTGGGTTTTCTTTAGTATAAATTAGTCCTGGTTGGACGCAAGTTCTTGACCAAATTCTGTCGTTTTTCTTAAACATGGAGGGAGGGAAGGGGGGGATGTTGAAACGGTCAACAGGAAAGAGCGTTAGTTGGACTTGAGAGTCATTCATCAATCACCAAGAACCAGACAGTCAGCAGCATAAAACACAAACAAGTCTTGGTCTTTCTGCAGAAAAGTCACAACTAATTGGCTGGACAAGGGGACGAGCTTAGGGTGTGTTTTAGCCAGATTCAAGAACATCTGTTTAAATGACCCGAAGGGCCTGGGAAGCAGCGAGAGTCTTCAAGTGTGGGACAAGAGGAGTGTAGACTTTACTGGGTTTAGAGGTTTAGAAACGTTTCCCATAATCTGTTGGTTTTGAAACTTCTGGACTTCGGAATGCTATGCTGCAAAAGGGAGGTCTTATTTCCAGTAACAACTTTTTTTCCAAAGATTTAATCTATCTAGCCGTTGATGTTGCACGCCTTTAATCCCAGCATTTGGGAGGCAAAGGCAGGTGGATCTCTGTGAGTTCAAAGCCAGCCTGGTCTACAGAGTGAGTTCCAGGACAGGCTCCAAAGCGATACAGAGAAACCCTGTCTTGGAGAGAAAAATGAAAAAAGATTTTATTTTATTTATCACGTGTACAGTGTTCTGCCTGCATGTACACCTGCAGGCCGGAAGAAGGCACCAGATCTCACTACAGGTGGTCATGAGCCACCGTGTGGTCGCTGGGAGTTGAACTCAGGAACTCCAGAAGAACAGCCAGCTCTCTTAACCACTGAGCCATCTCTCCTGCCCTCCAGTGACATTTTTTAAGTGGCTCTTTTCTCCACTAAGTAGTTTGTGTGAACTGTTTAGCACCCCCCCACCACTCCTCACCCTTTTAACTTTAAGAGGCCAAGACCGTGGTGAGAAGTTGGCGTGGATGTGGTAGCTGTGAACTGGGCTAAGGGCAGAGCTGGGAGGCGAAATCCAGGAGGGACAGGTCTGCTAGGAAAGTAGGGGGGTGGGTTCTGAGAGCTGTAGGAGGAAATGAGAGTTGGTGGTCATGGGAGCGAGTGGCAGGGTTCTTACATCTCTCTCCTGTATGTGACTGTACGTTTAAACAGCTTATTGGAAAGGCTCGTTCTTCAGCCAGCTGCAGAAACTCAGACAAATGCACCACTTGCCCGGTGATGCCACCCAGGGAAAGAAGTTAACACAAAATGTATCTGTGTCAGTTAACAGTTAATACCATGCCCCTCAGAAATGCCTGTAGGACAATGATCTGGGAAATCTCTCAGTTGAGCCTTAGGTAGTTTGGTTGTGTCTGGATGATAACTAGCCTATATTTTAACATTTTGTGATACTTGTTTTGGGACCGTCTGAAATCACATGTAGCTTATACACAATACCCTACAACTGCAGAATTACAGAAAAACCTATACTGGCTAAATTCAAATATGGTTCAAGTCCAGCATTCACCCTGGTGGTAGCCATTGTCTTGTTTTAACAGTAAATAGGCACTGGACAACAGCGTTTCAGTCTACGACAGCACACATGTTACATGGTGATCCTGTAACTGCATTGCTTGGGTGATGATGTAGCCATCTTCTGTTGCATGAGACACAGCCATCGCTTTTTCCCTTGACATGAATTTGTTTTCCAGATTTTAATTTATTGTATTATAATGTTGTGTGTGCATGCATGTGTATGTGTACGTGTACAGGCAGGAGGTTGGCACTGGGTGTCTTCTTCGGCCTTACCTCCGTAGAAAAGCACTTTACTGACTGAGCCAGCGGCCCTCAGGGGAAGGTGTGTGGAGACAGAAAGGGTGTTTGCATGCGTGTAGGATTGTGTTCGTATAAAGTGGCCCACAGCTGTGTGTGTACTTGTATGTTCTCAGTCATTAGCTTCTGATTGCTAGCAGCAAGTTTACATTGAAGTAATTGGCCTTTTATTTTATTGTATTTTTTTGGTGTTTCATTGTGAATGGTTAATTTTTTTTAAAAATCATTTAACTAAATGCCAAGTGATAGACATGTCAAAATAATCACATTTTATCTTACTATATCATGGCATTCTCGTTGGCAGATTTTGTGTTGACACATATTAGAATTATTTCTCTGGATGTCCAAGTATTTCATCCACCTTGCAGAAAGGGAGCCCGGCTGCATCCTCGGTGTTAGCAAACCATAACAGAAACAGAATGGCGGTCCTTGCTTCACCATCCTGGCTAGTATTTCAGGCGTCTGTGCTGGCCTGCTCTTGGGGTTCTGACAGGATGCGCCCTCAGCTGCAGCACTAAGAGCACCGCCTATGCATATTCACTGTGTTCCTTATAAAATGGCCCCGCCCACCTCCCATCCTCTTTCCTTCTCTCCCTCTCTGTCTATTCCTCTCTTTCTCTCTCTCTCCCTCTCACCGTCTTTCCTCTCTCCTGCTGCTCCTGTCCCTAGAGGAAGCTGGTCTTCCTCTCCCTCCCCCTTCCCATTTTTATGATCCCTTTCCTTTAAAAAAACCCTCTGCTTGAACCCTCTCGAATGGTCTTTCTCTGGAGTGCTGCTTTTCTTAAATTCCAACCATCCTGCCTTTCAGCCAGCATCAAGTTCAGCATCATTTAGATAAGATGAGATGCTGAGCCTTGAGAATTCAACCTAGTTTGTCTAGAGAGCTTTCTAAAGTAGCAAGAGAGGCCACGGGAGGATTATTTCACAGTCAACATAGAACAGTGAAAAAAACGGTGTCTGTCTGTCACCAGCTTCGGTGGAGGGAGAAATTCTTTCCGCCGCTTGACTTCATCTTACAAGCGGAAGTCAGTGGAGTATTTCGGAGAGGAGATTGTCGGTGTTCAAATGCTGACTCACAGGGAGACTTTGGTTTGATAATGAACATCGAGAATGCCAAAGTGTGAAGGTTTTATTTAGACAGAACACAGTTGTGCATCCCCAGAAAGAAAACATCGTGTTCCGTTTGTGGGCATCTTGGAGAAATCTGACCTGGCTGCTCCCTATTGTGAGAAAGGAGAGAAACAAAGCCGCTTGTACTGGCTGCTTTGATTTCCTCAACCGACCGCTGTGTAAGAGTTCTCCAAAGACAGTGATAGTTACAGCCCCGGGACATTCCTCAGTGGAAGATAATGGCCAACTGTCATCCTACAGTACTGTTCCTAATGCTGTTCCCGGCTTCCTCCAGCCATAGGTTACCCTAGTTGATGCAAGCATTCGAGTGACTGCTGGAGGCCTTCTCCCATAAGTAGACAGTGGCCAGCCCCTCAGACTTTCCAGAGGCCGTTCCCCTGCCCCTCCTCCTCTCTCCCTGCCCCAAGTGTAGTAATATTCACCTTTTCATGAGAAAGAGTTTTCTCTCTACTGGCTAGTCACTGCCTTCTGGCCTTTGGGGGAGGCGTTCCTTGATGTCCAGTCTGCACCGGAATCCCCTGTTCTCGATGGTCCTTTCACGTTTTGCTCCTCTCTGCTCAGTAACAGACAGCACAGCGCGTTACTGGGTTTGTGTTGCAGATGTGAGTGCCTTGAGCGCTCCAGCGATTAGGGTATGCATCTGTCAGATAGAAGAGTGGCTGGATCCTTTGTGGGGACCCCTGCGGGCACCTCCTTGCCTTAGAGTAATCTAGACCCAGCATCTCAGGTGCTTCTGTCCTTTGCCTAACCTGTGATACATTCAGAGCGCAGGGACACCACTAGCTACCCCCACACACACATTGGAAACAAAGTAGCCAGGAACAGCTACACTGTAGCTCCACAGCTGCCGGTTAGTCTGATTGGAGCTAGACCTTGGCCGGCTGTCTGTCACCTGCTTGCCTGTGAGCCCTGCCAGTCAAATGCACCGTATGGGGGGAAGGTGATCTGGGTTCTGTGTCCCCTGCCTACATGCAGCGTGCCTCTGAGTCGGAAGTAGGGGTAGCAGGAGTAGCAGTAGTGGATTGTGTTAGGCGCCCCCCCCAACATAACTGCTTGCCTGCTTGTGGCTTGCCTGGAGAAGTCTGAGCGGGACACTCTCACACATCCTAGCTTTGCCTTGCGGACAGTAGTGGGTGAGCTCTGCCCTGTTCCAACAGGAAAGGTTACTCTTCATTCAGCGGTTCAGCCACAATAACACTGCTGTGGTTTCTGATTTCTGGCTGGGTCAAAACAACCCAGACAACCGCCTTAGTGGGCCAGCTTAACTTCCCGCACTGGGGAAACTTCAGAGACGGCCTACATGATGTGTGCCGTTTATACCCCCAGAATCCCACTGTCAAGTGGATACTGGGTCCCGCTCTTGAGTGAGATCATGGCTGCAGCCTATGGGAGTTACGAGTGGAAAAGAGAGAAAAATAGTGACACGTGTTGTTAAGTTAGAGGGGTAGGAGTGCTGTGTGTGAGGTAAGGAGAAGCAGGTGTGAAAAGCTGAAGGAGCCTATGGGACAGGCACACTTTATGGCTTGTATGGAGATTTACTACTTTAAGTGGATCTAGAATAGAAAATACACAGTGTGCTTTTTAAATCAATTCTATATTTATTTATTTATTTATTATGTATGTAACATTCTGCCCCCCCCCCCCGTATGCCTGCATGCCACAAGAGGGCACCAGATCTCATTATAGACGACTGTGAGCCACCACGTGGTGGCTGGGAATTGAACTCAGGACCTCTGGGAACGCAATCAGTGCTCTCTTAACCTCTGAGCCGTCTCTCCAGCCCCCAATAGTGTTTTTTTAATATATATATCTGTTACTCCTTCTCTTTCGGTGCAGTGGATAACCTTGAGCAATTCTGGTTTTGTGCTTGAAATGTCAAGCACAGAGGTGCTTACCTGTCAGTCAACACGTACTCCTTAGTTCCTGTCCAGCTTCTACAGGTCATGCCAAGAAGGGTGTCAGGTACTTCCTAGGCCTCTGGTCTTCAGATCTTTATAGGCGTAAAGCCCCAAGAGTATATAATCTGCTCAAGGATACCATGATGAAAATATAGAATATTAAAAATGAGTTAATTTAGTCGGGCGGTGGTGGCACACGCCTTTAATCCCAGCACTCGGGAGGCAGAGACAGGCAGATCTCTGTGAGTTCGAGGCCAGGCTGGACCGATAGCCTCCGAAACAATACAGAGAAACCCTGTCTTTTAAAAACAAAAAACAACAACAAAAAAAGAGTTAATTTAATTGTGAGAGCTAGTCAGTAATATGCCTGAGCCAGTGGCCAGACAATTATAATTAATATTAAGCCTCAGAATGATTATTTAATAAGTAGCTGTGGGGATCGACAGGCGGGAAAGGAACCAATGGGACTGGGAGAGACAGAGAAAACCTTCCAACTATAATACTGGTCGCAGGAAGGGCTTGATGCATGCGTGTTCACCTCAGGGTCAGGGACTGTGTGCCTACTTTAAACACTGACTCTGGGCTCTCCTTTCCAGGTGCTTTTGCCTCCGTACAATGATGCTACTGCCGTGACCGGCACTGCCAAGGAACCACCACCACCATACGTGTCTGCCTGAACCCAGTGTGCAGGAATCGAGGAGCAGCAGTCTAACTCTGCAGCTGCCTGATGGATTTATTGATCGATGGATTTATTGATCGGCCCTTTGAGCCTGTTTGCTGATAAAATAACCACATTTTACAATTTAGATGTTAACATTTGAAGCCTCTGTTGTTAGAAACCTCCTCTGTAGCTAGAACACCAGGGTAGCTGTAGATTATTTTGGTGGGGGTGGGGTGTAATGAGCTCCCTTAGTCTGTCCCGGAACTGAAGACAGCCTTTTCAAGAGGCTGGTTTGTAGCTGCCTGGTCCCACAGCTGGGCGCTCGATCACACTGTTTCTCTCCTTCCCTTCTGACTCTCTTGAAAGCATAAAATGAAAATTAGGCAATACTCAAACCATTCCAGTGTATAGGACAAACCCTGATACAAATAATATTGGTTGCTCTAATCGGGTAGTTAGGAGCCCTTGCATAGGTGATACAAGAATTTCCCTGCTATCTCCAAATTCAGTGATGATCCGAGTTTGCCAGTCAAGGATTTACTCTGTACCGAATAAAGACTGAGAAGTAACACCAAACGGTGAGAGAGAGCGGGAACCCCCGCTGCCCAGGGTATCTGTTGTCCTGCGGTGGCCAGTTTGCCATCAAAGCTTTTCTCTTGGCCTGTTGTTGCCCCAGCAAATCTCTCTCTTGCTGCATCGAGAGAAGTGTTTGTGTCTGGAAGTATGGAAAAGGGTTTTCACCCTCTCTCCTTTTGCAGGATACACCCTACCTGGGTTTTGGTTTTGTTTTGTTTTTTTTAAAGTATGTCTAATCTATTGAAAATGTCAAGCAGTCTTCAGAAAGACGAAGAGGATGGCTCCCTTGTGGAATGCTCTAGACCGAATCGGGAAAGACGGGCTGTGTCTCTCTTGTCTCTGAAAGTTTGTCTCGTCGCTGAATGTGCTGTACGTGGAGGCTTTGCAATAAAGGTTTGTCTGCAACCAGGAAAACAGTCTTGGCTCTAACGGTTGCGCCCAGCCATTCTCCCTGCCCCTGGGGCTACGCAGATGCTCACAGCTCCGTCATTTTACACAGATGTTGTCTAATACTCAAATGCTGATGAAATGGGGTCGGTTGGACCAACAGTGCCACTCACTAACCTGTCACTAACATACTTTGGGTATCAAGCAGTGGCGTGTGTGATATCTTTGTGCCACAGTACTTGGTAACCCTTTTTTTTTTTTTTTTTGGTTTTTCGAGACAGGGTTTCTCTGTGGCTTTGGAGGCTGTCTTGAAACTCGCTCTTGTAGACCAGGCTGGCCTCGAACTCACAGAGATCCGCCTGCCTCTGCCTCCCGAGTGCTGGGATTAAAGGCGTGTGCCACCAACGCCCGGCTTTTTTTTTTTTTCTTTAAGAGATGGGTTTTTGTTTGCTGTGGCCCAGATAGGTTGGCTTCCAACTCATGCACTTTTTACCCTTACATCCCTCTTGCTGGGGTTACTGGCACGTTACACCACACTTGGTCACCAAGCACTTTCCATGAACAATATTACTGTGTCCCAAAGTGTGATGTTGGTGTTGTCATCTTGACAGGATTTAGAACTGCCTGGGAGATGGGCCTCTAGGCATGCTGTCAGGGCTGTCTGGATTACATTGATTGACTGGGGAAGACCTGTTTACTGTGGGTGGGACCATTCTCCGGGCAGCAAACACTGGGCCCCATACCAGTGGAGAGGTGAAGTTGAACATCGTCAGTGTGCATGTTGCTTTCTTCCAACTGGACACAATTTGACTAGTTTCCTGTTATGATGAAGAGTGAACCCTGGAGGTGTGAACCGGGAATAAGCCCTGATCAAAGGCATTTTATCACAGTCACAGGAGAGAAAAAGAAAATCACGTGAGATGGGGAGAAATAAACATGAAAGATGGGTGGGGGGGCAGTGTCTTATCCCTGAGAATCAGCCTTACCACCGTTATTTTTTTTTTCCTTTCTTTTTTTAATTCATCCTGAGAAATCCTGTCCCTTGAAGCTTCGTGCCTGTAAGATTCACACAAAGTTAGACACATTGAGCCTTCAGAGTAGGAAGGGCTTCTATCCAGTAGTTGACAACCCCAGTGGAGGGCACATGGGAAACCACAGGTGTGCGCTTGTTCCCCTGTGCCTAATACGTTTGCAAATGACACGCGGTGAAGTGGAGAGGCGCACTGGCCTTTGGAGTGTGGGTGGGGCTGTTGGAAATGAATACAGACTGATAACACACCGACTGATAGATACCTCGTCTTGATATCCAGTTACAGGCAGAGGCCATTGTTGTGCCCAAGTTGCAGAGTCCCCAGAGACCACCAGGAAGACAGACCCACTAAACTACAAAAGCAGGGTTTTAGTTATTCATCCACCCGTGACAGGGACCCCGTCTGGCTGGCTGTCCAGCAGCCTCCAGAGGGAGTGAAGCTCCTTGTCTATTGCTAGGTTTTATAGACAAAAGTTACAGGATTACATCAGTAGGTACTGGTTGGCTTCTGATTGGTTGACATTTGGGGACAATTAGGGAGAATTTCTCAAAGTCTTATTTTGGCACGAAATACCGGTGTACCAATTATTTTCATTAGTCAGTGCCGGGAGGGAACATTCTGTGGGTTCTATGGCATTGTCTTGTTACTTGCAGGTGACCTGTTGTTCATAGATACCAGTAGTTTTCAGAACTGTATCCTGGAGACTACGGGGGAGGTTTTGGTCACCACCGGAGTATTTTTTTGGGACCAAACAGTTCCCAGGAACCAAGCATCTATGAGGCTGGGGGGCGGGGTGGATTCTGGAGTTTCTTTATTTTCAATTTTGACCCTAGGCTCTGGGAGGCCACAGGATCTGGAGTTTCCTTGTGTCAGAGGCCTACGTGTCTTTTCTGTAGCCTGTCATGGCTGCTAAAGCAGGGGGCTGAGTGAGGGTCTCGTCCCTTCATTTCTAAATTATTAGAAGTGAAGCCCTTGAGTTTAGTTTATCCCTTTCAGCCATACCTAGATGCTCCCTGTCCTGTGATCGCTGCATGGGAATCCTTCAGGTTTCTCATCTTTAATTAAGGTTGCAACTTCAAACCCAGCCTCTCAAAGTTCACAAATGGGGCTGAGCTTGAGGCAGTCCATGCAGGAGGGAACCTTAAGCCCTGTGCTAGGCTAACAGGGAAGGAGTAATTTAACCCGTTTTTGCTGAGTGGTGGTTTGCCCACAGATTTCATTAGAACCAGCTGCTCAGACTGCTGGAGGGAGGATGGGCAGTCAGGGAGAGAGGCCGATGGATCCCCCACCTCCTGCTCTTTCTCCCTCCTTAAAAGCTGCAGCCCCTTCCCAGGGTCTGCCCATGCCCTTCCCTTGCCCATAGTCCCCAAGAAGACAAACATTAACTCTCACTTTAAAGAAAATGCTCTCATCTCCAGCACTGGTTTAGTTTCTCTTAGCAAAACCTCATCCTGTGACATGTTTCTCCACCCTTAATAACAATAGTCCTTAATAATCCTCTCAGTAGAGAGTCTTCAAGGCTGCTGCCATTAAAGTAGCTTTCTTCATAGAGAGATACTGCATTTGAAATACTCACCATTGGGGCTGGGTGGCGGGGTGGGGAGGGATCCTGCTGTGCAGACCGAGCTTCACGATAGAGGAAAGCTAATGAGACTGAAAACATTTCCTTTTTTAATTTATTTTTTTAAAAGATGTGTTACTTGTTTGCAGCCAGTGTAAAAGCTGACTTAAGTACTGCATTGTCATGCTGCAGGCCCATAAGCTAGGCCCTGGTTCTGGAGGGGAGAAGGCAGATGTCTTTGCCAAGGCCTTGGAAGAGCCGTTCTTGCAGGAGAACTTGACAGCCTAGGCAAAGTCATTTCAGGGCTCCCTGCCTCCAGCCCTAACAACAACCGAAAATAGTGCCGGCGGCAGCGGCTGTGTGCGACGGGTCTTGGCAGCTCCTACACATGTGTTCTACAAGGGAAGGAAAAGGCAGACTGCAGGGATGTCTCCACACCCATGGAATTCGCTTCAAGTGTTTCTGCACAGTGGCCAAGTTCTCTGCTAAACGGCTCACAGTGTATGGACGCCGGCCAGATCGACACCGGCCACCTCCCCCAGCAGCCCATGCCTGCTCCCTGCACCAAGACAATGCCTTAGCCGCCTAGAACGTGGGTGCTACCTCAAAGTGAAGCTTTGAGCCCTCTAGGCCCAGTAGAGGACCCGGATTAGCAAAAACAGCTGCTGCCTTGGGGCAAAGGGTTTGGCTTAGAACAGCACAGTGGACTCACTTGTTTTATCCTATCCAATACGTCCTTGTGGTTTACAGGAGAGTCATTAGCGGTATAGTTCTTGCCTTAGCACAGGAATCTCTCAGCATAACAGACTGAGATCATCAACTGCCGAAAGGTTTGCTTTGGCTCTTTGTTTTGGGGTTTTCCCGTACATTATCATTTGGGCCTGTGGCAAAGCAACACAATCTTACCTTATCGTGAGGAGAAAGAGGCTGGGGTCCCACCATCCCTTTTCAAGGGCACGAGGCGACCCAACACCCTCCAGCTAGAGTTAGTTTTCTTCAGCATTACTTTTTAAGACTCAAGTATCAAGGGCATCAGGGAACATAGCATACTTGTGGATTCTGTTGCATTTGAAATTTTCCGTTTTGTTTATCCGGGACAGGGTTTCTCTGTGTAGCCTGCATTTGAAAATTTTATTGTGTATGTAGCTGGAGAGATGGTTCAGAGCTTAAGAGCAGATACTGATCTTGCAGAGGGTGTGAGTTCAAATCCCAGCACCCACGTCAGGCCACTCAGGAGTGCCTGTAACTCCAGCTCCGGGAAATCCTCCACCCATGAACTCCTCATGTATCCAAAATAATGTGCATATACAGGACCATAGTTAAAAATTAAATCTTTAAAACACACGCTCGCTGCAATGCATGGGCGGAGGTCAGAGGGTAACTTTTGTGAATCACTTCTTTCGCCATATGGGTCTAGGGGTTGGACTTGGGTGATGATGGCAATGACCTATACCTACTGAGCCATCTTGTTGGCCCTGGAATTTCGTAAAATTAAATAGAAAAGCCAATAACTCATTTGTTGGGTCTCACCCTGAAAGTGGTTTCCTTTTTGAAGTCTCAGGAAGCAGTAACCCACGATGCATTTGTTCTGTGGTGCCCGTAACACACCCAGCAACATTCCCCCCCCCCCCCCCCCCCGAAAGCACATGGTACATTCTGGTCATCGCTGATTTTCTTGTCTGTGAGTCCCCCAGTTGGGTATGTGTTGCTCCTTTTTTTTTTTTCTCTCAGTGCCCGGCACACATCTGGCAAATAGAAGCCCCTCAAAAAGTATTTACTAGAATGAAAATAAACACATGAGAAAAAAATTAAAGCCAGCTGTAATCCCCCCCTGGTAATCACAGATTCTTAATTCAGCAGAGCTTGAATGCCACAGAGAAAAGTTATCACAGAGGAGCCCATGGGGGTGGGGCGGGGTGGGGCGGGGTGGGGTGGGGCGGGGTGGGGTGAGGATGCATTCTGCTCTTAACCTCTGAGCCATCTTTCCAGCCCGCCTATGGAGCACACTAAGGCAGACCCACTGAAGTCACAACTGGAGGAATGTTTACTATGTGTGCATGCGTGTGCGCGCGTACATGTGTGCGCATGGGCACGAAGACGTGTGTGTGTGTGTGTGCGAGTGTGCATGTGTGCTTGCATGCATGAGGGTGCGTGTGTGTGCACATGCGTGTGCATGGGCGTGCATTGTGCATGTGTGTGTATAGGAGAGTGTGTGTATGTGTGTGTTGACTTTTAGAAGAGAATCAAAGGTCATAGGAAAAGGACATCAACCCACTAATTAAAGGATTGATCGCTGAAGAAAGGTCAAAGGTCAAAGGTGAGAGCCTTGCTAATACTCTGCTTAAATTTGAGATTAAAAAAAAAAACCAACTCAGCTCTTACTATTCTTGCGATGTGTCCCTTTCATGTGAACTTAATTTGTGTGGATTTAACTT